GGTTATATGGAAACTATTATTTGTACATCATCATCATTAGACGTAAGCTGGAGGTGGAAAACACCTCAGATATAGTGCCGCAATACAGAAGACAAGAAAACGAAAACAAACAGTGGCATGCCCGCTGAGTCTCCATTAACGGATGGACATCGTTCCGGATAGCTAACAGCTGGCTATCGTGCCGTAAAAAGTTATATTATGCCTCACAAGTAAGATCGTGATTGGAGGGGATGCTAAGCAGGAGGAGGATGGACAAAGGAACTCACAACACAAACGCCATTGGTGCCGGCTCCAAGCCATATCAGCAAATGTCCAACCAAACGTGTTCACCGTCCTTAGCACCCCAGCCAGGCAGTCGTGATGCACCAACCGACGCCAACTTCGAAGTGAGGGTTTTCATTTCTCGCGACCAAGTCATCACTTGGCCTCCCCTCCTCCTCTTCCAACCGCACCCACAACGCGCAAACAATGCACATCGCGGGAGTCGGTGTGCTGGCATACGCAAGACGTGGCCCAGCCACCGGAGCCTGGTGCGTGATCTAATGGTGCTGAGCGGTTCACTCGCTCTTCCTGCACCAAATACACGACATCTAACAGGCTCATTGCTCACGCGGTGCTTCCACCAGAAATGAGCTAAGCTGCGAAGGCAGCGATGATCGAATATGACGAGCCTCTTTATATCTGTCGACCTGATGGGCCAGGTTTCACAGTCATATAGGAGAGTTGAACGGACGGCTGCGTTGTAAACTCTGCCCCTCAGGGTGAGAGTAATGTCGCGTCTGCGCCACAGGTGGCGGAGATTGGCAAAAGCACCTCGAACTTTTGCTATACGGTTCGTAACCTCATCTAAGATCCCACGAGTACTAATATAGCTGCCAGGTACTTGAATTCCTGAACGACTTCTAGCAGATCACCACCAAGCGTTAGCGCAGGGTTGGGTCCCTGCCAATCTTGGAGAAGTACTTTGCATTTCGATGGAGCAAAGCATAGCCCAAAACGATTGACAGCCAGTGCCAATCGGTCCAGTGCTGTTTGGCATGTTTGGGAGCTGTCACAGATTAGGGCAATATCGTCCCCATCATCATCATCATCTACAGCAGTACATCAGCCATTTGAACTGATGCTTCGCTGCCATACAACCATGAGGAACTATGAAATAAAGAATAAGAGGGAGAGAAGGGGGACTTACCTGAAAACCTGAATGCCCTAAGCAAACATTCAGGGTCAAGGCGCCCACACCTTGTGTAGACAACATACCGTCACAAACAGCTGGCTATCGCGCAAAGATAAGGCGGCATCGGCGAGACAGCTTCCTTGCGTCTTCAACTGCCACGCGTCATAATCAGCCATTACCCCGCAGACAACTCAGCACCAAACACACTTTAAACAGGCAATCCGATTAGAAGACGGCAGCAGACGCGCCACTGGTGTCGGCTGCGAGCCATGTCCTGTAAAGTCTCGAGCCAAGCACAAGGCGAGTCACGTGGACTCCAACCCGGAAGGCGAGACGGACCAACGGCACCCAGTTTGGTTGTCTGTGACTTCATTTCCCGCTGCCAAGTCAACTTCTGTCCACCTAGAGCCTTGCGCCATCCTACACCTGGTAGACTGAACAAGACCCTCCTAGGTAAGCGGTGAACAAACATGCGTAGCACGTGCCCGAGACAACGCAACTTATTCAGTGCTATCTGTTGTTCTAGGGAGTTAGCATGATTATCATTACCTAGTACTCGCCTACGCACATCATCGTTGCGGACACGCTGGTGCCATCTGACACCAGCAATGCTTCGCAAACAACGATGATCAAAGACCTGAAGGCACCTCAGATCTTCAGACCGAAGGGACCAAGTCTCACTACCATACAGCAGAACGGCCCTCACTGTGGCCTTGTATACACGGCCTTTCAGACGGAGGGAAACTCCCTTCTGTCGCCAAAGATGCCGTAGGTTCAAGAAGGCAGCTCTGGCCTTTGCAATGCGTGAGCTCACGTCAGTTTCTATGCGCCCATCATTGCTGACGCAGCTGCCAAGAAAAGTGAAATGATCAACCACCTCAAGTTCCTCTTTAGAAAGCGTCAAGGGGTCATTAAGTGGCTGGTGGTCCTGCAGTAACACTTTGCACTTTGAAGGTGCGAAGTGCATACCAAATAATGGGACCACTCTGGACAGGCTATTCAGGGTTGATTGGGCCGCCGCAACATCGTTGAAAAGCAAGACGATATCGTCCGCATAATCTAGGTCAACTACTCTTTCACTAGGCAGCACTTCAACAACTACATCGTTGGATTCCGTTAAGGAACACTCCATGATAGAATCCACGATGAAATTGAACAAAAACGGGGAAATCGGACAACCCTGACGAACGCCACTTATGGTCGGAAAGCTATCTGATAGGACACCATAGACCCTGACGCGACCTGTAGTGTTCGAGTATAGAGCAAGAAGGATGTTCACATATTTCGTGGGAACACCTTTCCGCGCAAGTAATTCGAACAGAATCGATCGATCGACTGAATCGAACGCACTCTTGAAATCGAGGAACACAGCTATCGTCGATCTGCGGTATGCGTGGCGCTGCTCTAGCACCTGCCGCAAAGTAAATATATGGTCTATACAGCCACGTCCTGGGCGAAAACCGGCCTGCTCTTCCCTAATCCGGGATTTCCGTTCTGCAGTGAGGCGACGAACGATAATCGAGGCCAGTAGTTTTGTCACAACTGGTGTTAGGCTAATACCCCTGTGGTTAGAACAGTCTGTGCGACTGCGCTTTTTGTATATTGCCACTATAATCGATTCGCTCCAATTAGCCGCCACACTCTCTTCGTTCCAGATACGCTCGAATAGGGAGGTCAGTGCCCTGCAGAGGACCTCACCATCCTTAAATAGTGCAGGTGGGAGGGAATCCGGGCCAGCGGCACGAAAACGAGTGAGGGCTGTGATCGCGTTTCGGACCTCGGCCTCTGAGGGAGGCTCTAGACTAACCGTCCATGTCTCGTCCTGCATCATTTGAGCAGGAAGAGGTCCGGGAGCAGGGGGCCAGCTGAACTGATCTTCAAAGTGTTCAGTCCAACGAGCCATACGACCCTCCTTACTGTGTATCAGCGTACCCGCGCTGTCTCTGATTGTCTCACTGATGCCTGGTTTTCTCGGACCAGTGGTGAGAATTAGCTGGAAAAGCTTCCGGTAATTGCCTACTGCTCCCGCCTCCTCCATTTCTTGAGCCCGACTGGTCCACCAGGTTTCCTTGTCAGCACGTAGGCTCCGCTTTAGTTCACGCCTAATAGCCCGTCTGGTCACATTGTGTCCAGAACCAGCCGGGAGCTGTCTTCTAGCTTCCAACAGGTTCACGGACTTCTCGGATATCCAGTGACTAATGCGGTGACGATGGATAGTGCCACAAGCAGATGCTCCTGCGTCGTGCATGGCAGCTGAGATCCTATTCCACTGAAGTTCAGTGTCATAAGGACAAGACAGCGAGAGTTTGCTATGCTGTGCTTCTTGATAGGCTTGCCTGACAGAGGGCTGGGACAATTTCTCCGTTGTCAATCGGAGGAGATGCCTTGTGCGCCTTCCGGTAAGGTTCATGGAGAAACGACAGCGCACCAAGGCATAATCAGAGTCGACACAGGTACTCCAGTACGAGCGGCAATCCAGAATGGAACCGCGCCATCTGTAACCTATGGCTATGTGGTCAACTTGGGTCCATCGTTGGCCAGCTACAGGTGGACGCCAAGTGGCACTTCGGCACCCACTGTGTCTAAAAGCAGTGCTACTAAGAAACAACTGGTGCTCCGCACACAGTTGCAGCAGACGCTCGCCGTTGTCAGTCCGTTCGGCGTTAAGTCCATACTTACCACCCAGCTGAGCTTCTGAAGAGCTCAGACGCCCTACTTGTGCGTTCATATCCCCTGCAAGTACTATAATATCTGAACTAGTAGAACTGCGTAATAGCGCATTCAGTTCGTGATAGAAAGTGTCCTTGACTGCATTAGAACTGCAGTCGGTGGAAGCATAAGCGGAAATCACAAACAAACGGCGTTTTGCGCTACCTCGTGAACCAAGTTTAGATGATGTCGTCAAACGGCCTGCACATAAACGGCTGTTCACCGGAATCCAATCAACCAACGACGGCTCAGCCTTGGAGCTGAGAATGATACCTACACCAGCTTGACCCGTGAGTGCCGCATCAGAGTCTCCGGATGCGTGCAACCAAAAACAAGAGGATAAGCCGGGTGCAGTCAATTCAATAACCCCGTTAGGGTCATTAATCATAGTTTCGGACACACAACACACATCAACACCCAGTGTGTCCAAGGTGCGTGCGAGTGCAGCCTGCTGACGTGTTTGCTTAGAGTGCGGATGTTGAATGTCGCCATGGAAACGGGATAGCGTGGCATTACAAGGGACTTTTGTCGATAAGCGCCCGATAGGTGCTGTTGGATGGTGGCTGCAGATGGTTCTACTCCAGTAGCACTTCGGTTGCTGTCAATTAAGCTGGGAATTACAGAAGGAAGGTTAGTAATGGGGCCGGGGTGGGAGTAAGAGAAAAAGGTGGAAAAGAAAGAAGGGAGGCGCCAGCAGTAGCATGTTTTCGCTTATCCGCCCTGCTGTATGCAGCAGATAAGGCGACCTTTGATAATCTGCGAGACGGCCGATGCAGGATGAAGTTTATGTTTGCAGAAAATGTCATGCTTGTATGTGGGCTGAGATACTGCCAGGGCGTCCAGACCTAGACAGGAGGACGACGATTAGGGTCCTCATCCAAAGCCTTTTGCAATACTCCAAGTCAAGAAGTCGTTCACCAGAAAGTAGCTCCACACCTTCTAGGTCGTGTCCAGCGAACGCTGTTTTCATGACTTCATCAATAGCGAAGTTGAAGAGAAAAGGCGACAGCGGGCATCCTTGTCTCACACCGCTGGTGGCTGGCTTGCCGAACTACCTCGCCGTGGAGCCAGCTGGGTGGTTCGGGTGTACCCCGTTCCAGCAAAGTGTTCGGCGACAATGTTCCACCTCCGTAATGAGAATGGTGAGCGATTGCTCCAGCTGTGTGAAGATGCTCGCCTGTTTCTCGCGAGCACTAATTTTCGACACAGCACCCGCAGAAGTGTGACTTGGCGGCCACCAGCCTCGGGCCAGTCATGGACGCAAATCGATCATATCGTGATCAGTTACCGCTGGAGAGGCTGTGTCCAAAACTGTCGCTCGATTTGGAGCACGAGCGTGGACTCTGACCACGCACTTGTCTGTGCCGACCTCCTGGTGCGTTTCGGTGGACGTCCGCGACGTCGATGTGAACGGATTGACACTAGCCAGCTGGCGAAGCCAGATGTTCTGAATGTGTACCAAGATGCGCTGACATCTGGGCTGAGTAAACGCCCACTAAACACCGTTGAAGATCACTGGTCGCACACTCGTCAAGCGTTGCTATTAGCAGGCATGTCTTCATGTGGCAAAACAAATTGCCAAACCGGACATTGGGTCTCTACACAGTCTCTGGAACTTATGGATGCTCGCCGACGTATTCCGGCTGGAAGCGAATACAATGAATCTCGCAAAAATCTCAGGGCAAAACTACGTGCTAGCCTGAAGAAGGACCGCGAAACCTGGTGGTCTCATCGTGCATCTGAGATGGAAACAGCCGCTGCCATTGGTAATCATCGTAAGTTATACCGTCTGATACGGGCAACAGGCAGCAGGAGACCTGGTGTTAGCGAGACCATACGCGACGAGAGTGGGCAGATGATCCACAGCCTGTCAAAACGCTTGGAGCGTTGGGCTGAACACTTTGCACGGCAATTTAACCAACCTGAGTTATCACTTTCTTCGGGCATTGAACGCCCTTCTCCTTGGGCCGTCTCCCTGGATCCGCCCTCACGCGCTGAAGTCGAATGTGAGATCAGGCTGTTGAAATTGCATAAGGCCGCAGGGGCAGATACTATTCCTCCAGCCCTCTTCAAGTTCGGTGGACCTGCTCTAATAGGTGATCTACACGAGTTGCTAGTAAAACTTTGGGAGCAGGAGACAGTCCCGACAGACTGGAACCGCTCTGTCATTGTCCCAATTTTCAAGGGAGGCTCCCATTTGGTATGTGGTAATTATAGAGGGATCAGTCTGATTTCGATTGCCTCTAAATTGCTTGCCTCTCTCATTCTCCACAGACTGACTGGCACTCGTGAAAGCCAGATTCGTGAAGAGCAAGCCGGATTTCGTCGAGGTCGGAGCTGCATCGACCACATCTTCACATTGCGTCAAGTGTTGGAGCACCGCCATGTTTATTGGCGACCCACCGTTGTCGTGTTTCTTGACATAAAAGGTGCCTTCGACTCAGTCGATCGATGTGCACTTTGAGGAAAGGTGTGCCTGATAAATATGTAAACATTATCAAAGCGCTGTACGCACATAGTTCGGGCAGGGTGAGGGTTTATGGCAAACTCTCGCCACCCTTCAGTATCACCAGCGGTGTGAGACAAGGATGCCCGCTGTCACCTTTCCCCTTCAACTTCGCTATTGATGAAGTCATAGAAACAGCGTTCCCTGGACACGACCTAGAAGGTGTGGAGCTACTCCCTGGTGAGCGACTTCTTGACTTGGAGCATGCAGACGATATTGCCCTAATCTGTGACGGCTCCCAAACATGCCAAACAGCACTGAACCGATTAGCACTGGCTGTCAGTCGTTTTGGGCTATGCTTTGCTCCATCAAAATGCAAAGTACTTCTCCAAGATTGGCAGGGACCCAACCCTGCGCTAACGCTTGGTGGTGATCTGCTAGAAGTCGTTCAGGAATTCAAGTACCTGGGCAGCTATATTAGCACCCGTGGGATCTTAGATGAGGTTACGAACCGTATAGCAAAAGTTCGAGGTGCTTTTGCCAATCTCCGCCACCTGTGGCGCAGACGCGACATTACTCTCGCCCTCAAGGGCAGAGTTTACAACGCAGCCGTCCGTTCAACTCTCCTATATGGCTGTGAAACCTGGCCCATCAGGTCGACAGACATGAAGAGACTCGTCACGTTCGATCATCGCTGCCTTCGCAGCTTAGCTCATGTCTGGTCGGAACACCGCGTGAGCAATGAGCGTGTTCGACGTCGCGTATTTGGTGCAGGAAGAGCGAGTGAACCGCTCAGCACGATTATATCACGCACCAGGCTCCGATGGCTGGGCCACGTCTTGCGCATGCCAGCACACCGACTCCCGCGACGTGCATTGTTTGCGCGTTGTGGGTGCGGTTGGAAGAGGAGGAGGGGAGGCCAAGTGATGACTTGGTCGCGAGAAATGAAAACCCTCACTTCGAAGTTGGCGTCGGTTGGTGCATCCCGACTGCCTGGCTGGGGTGCTAAGGACGGTGAACACGTTTGGCTGGACACACTTGCTGATATGGCTAGGAGCCGGCCCCAATGGCGTTTGTGTTGTGAGTTCCTTTGTCCATCCCCCTCCTGTTTAGCATCCCCTCCAATCACGATCTCAATCGTTAGGCATAATATGACTTTCTTTTACGGCAGCCAGCTGTTAGCTCTCCGGAACGATGTCCTTCCGTTACTGGGGACTCAGCGGGCGTGCCACTGTTTGTCTGTTTTTTCTTTTCTTGCCTTTTGTATTGCGGCACAATAGCTGAGGTGTTTTCCACCTCCAGCTAACGTGTAATGATGATGATGATGATTCCACCTCCGTGGGGCATTGTATTCCAGCAATTGTGCTGACTTCATGGGGAGTATTGGGCCCCTGTTTGGTAATCTACCAAACAAAGGCGCATGAGCTGATCATTCAGTCAACGCCTCCCAATGGGCGCGATTCCCTAAATTCGCCCCGCTGCCTTGCGGGTAGGTTATTTAGCCAAAGGCTCCGGGTGGAGTCCCCTAAGTCAACTCCCTACTTCGGCTTGGGCAACCGGGTAGTATCACGCCCTCTCGCAAAACCATGGACTGTACTACAACGCGCTCATCAGCTACTGTTCCTGCTACTCACTTTCACGCTACTCCATCACACGCCAATTGTTTGTTTGCTAACAATCCTCACTTTCGGTTACCTGATTCATCTGTTCAACAATCTGGCTGCGATTCCGGTTGCTCCGCAGATCAAGGAATTCAACCTATGGCTCTCCTTCGTCCCCAATCCTCGTTCCGTCTGGCGTGCTTCAACGTCCGGACACTCATGCAGACTGGACAGCAAGCCGGTCTAGCGCGCACCCTAGATTCCCTAGACATTGATGTCTGCTGCCTTTCAGAAACTCGATTGCAAGATCCCAGCACTGTGCTTACACTGACATCCCCCACTGACCACGAAGCCACATATCACCTACGTCTTTCTGGAGATCCAGAAGCAGCCTCAGCGGGTCTGGCTGGTGTAGGTATAGCACTAAGTGACAAGGCCGAGGCGGCACTACTGGACTGGTTCCCGATTAACAGCCGACTATGTGCAGTTCGGCTTCGGGGTTCATGTAGAATCAACAGGCAACGCGAAGAGAAACGCAACTTGTTTGTGATCTCTGTGTATGCTCCAACTGACTGCAGTAGCGACTCGGTCAAGGACGATTTCTACCGAGATCTACAACAGCTCTTGATTAATGCTAAAAAGTCGGATGTCGTTATCCTTGCTGGAGATTTTAATGCACGGGTTGGCCGCCTGTTACCATACGAACGCCACCTTGGTGGTCATCACGCGCTCGATGAGAACCGCTCTGATAACGGAGAGAGACTTCTCACATTGTGCGAGGACAACCGTTTGTTTCTCTCGAGCACTAGCTTCAGGCGTACGAAGAAGCGTTCCGCAATTTGGCGTCCCCCTTCCCCAACACAACCTTAGTCTCAAATTGATCACATTGCGATTAGCTTCAGATGGCGCGGCAGCATACTGGACTGCAGGTCCTTTTGGTCCACTTTCGTTGATTCAGATCATGCTCTGGTCTGCGCGAAAATCTGTATGGGTTTTGGAGGATCCCGAAACACGAAACACCGCAAGATTGATGTAAACAGATTAACTGATTCCTCTGTCCTGGAGAGCTATCAGTCTTCACTGGCATATGCACTCAATTGCAATCCACCGCGAGAAGTGGAACAACACTGGACTTGTATACGGAAAGCGTTGACCATTTCCGGACAGTCATGCTGCGGTCTAACTCGACGCCCTTTGAAGTCTTGGATCTCTGCTCGTTCTCTGGAGCTCTTCGAACGCCGCAAAGATATCTCCGCGGAATCAGATTGCAACGAGCGGCGCCGTTCTACCAACCGGCTGCTTAAGCAAAGCCTCCGCAAGGATCGCGAGACATGGTGGTCTGAGCGTGCTTTAGAGATGGAGACTGCTGCCCTCTCTGGTAACACTCGCAGGCTTTTCCAACTCATTCGGTCCACTGGCCTCAGGAAGCCTGGTGTCAGTGAGGTCATTTGTGAGGTGGATGAGTCTCCGATCACCAACCAACAGAGGCGTATGGACCGCTGGGCCGAGCACTTTCACTCGCAGTTCAACTGGCCTCCACCATCCATCAGTACATGCAGTACACCTTGCTGTCCACCTTGGCTAGTCCCATTGAATCCACCCAGCGAAGCAGAAGTCTGCCTTGAGATTCGACGCTTGAAGCGCTTCAAGGCTGCCGGCTTAGACGGACTTCCTCCGGAGCTATTCAAGTATGGCGGTGTGGCAGTCATTAACCAGCTAACCGCGCTGTTCGCAAAAATTTGGCATGAAGAGAAAGTGCCTCCCTCTTGGGGCGAATCAGTTATTGTCCCAATTTTCAAGAAAGGCGCTCGCACTTCATGTGCAAATCATCGCGGGATTAGTCTTATTTCGGTTGCCTCTAAGCTGTTGGCATCCATTCTACTTCGTAGACTATCCCCAGTACGTGAATCGTACTACCGTGAAGAACAAGCTGGTTTCCGTCCTGGCCGCGGATGCGTGGATCAAATCTTCACGCTCCGCCAACTCCTTGAACATCGCCACATTTATCACAGGCCCACTATCGTTGCATTCCTAGACATAGGTGCCGCTTTTGACTCTGTTGATCGACCTGCTTTATGGCGTTGCTTACTAAAGAACGGGGTGCCAGAGAAATATATCGCCATCTTACGAGCACTTTACCTTCACACATCCGGCAGAGTGAGGGGCTATGGCAAGCTTTCCTCGCCATTCGCTGTCAATAGCGGTGTGCGACAGGGCTGCCCTATGTCCCCATTCCTCTTCAACTTCGCAATCGAAGACGTTCTGTCAAATGCACTAAAAGGTTTCCAACATTTTGGCCTAGAGCTTCTACCGGGTGAGCGCGCGACCGACTTAGATTATGCTGATGATATCGCCTTACTTGGTGACGATCCTCAGGGTATGCAACTCATTCTGGATCGTTTGGCGGTTGAAGCATCTAAGTATGGCATGAGCTTCGCCCCATCGAAGTGTTAAGTACTGCTCAAGGATTGGCTTTCACCTGCACCCGTGCTCACTCTCCAAGGTGCACAACTTGAACAGGTAGATAGTTTCGTCTACCTTGGGGGCTGTGTTTCCGCTGACGGCACAATCAACAAAGAAGTTTCGCTAAAGCTCGATCAGCATTTGTCAAGCTGAGGCACTTGTGGCGTCGTCGCGACGTCTCATTCTCACTAAAAGGCCGAGTTTACAGCGCGTCCGTTCGCTCAGTATTGTTGTATGGGAGCGAGTCCTGGCCGATTCGCGTGGAAGACATGCGTCGTCTTTCTGCGTTCGATAACGGTTGCTTAAGGAGGATCAATCGTGTTCGGTGGCAACATCGAGTTACCAGTACTGACGTTCGTCGTCGCGTCTTGGGGAATGCAAGTATTTCCTTCAATAAACTGGCTTTGTTGCGCCAGTTAAGATGGCTCGGTCATGTCCTACGCATGGCACCTGAGCGTCTACCGCGTCGCGCTCTATTCGCTCGTCAAGGACCTGGCTGGAAGCGACCGCGTGGTGATCAGCCTTCCACTTGGCGGCAGCACATGAAATCGCTGACGTCGTGCCTAGCCGCTGTTGGACCCGTACGTCTTCCAGGATGGGGACCCAAAGATGGGGAGTGCCAATGGCTTAGGACACTTGAAGACATGGCCCGCAACCGGAATCAATGGAAGAATTGTGTACCGTGTTGTGTTGATTCACATGTTTAATTCTACAAACATTGAAAATGACAAAAAAGAGAAAAATCGGCGTGTGACAAACAAACTAAAAATGTTTTGTTCTGTATTTTTGTCAAAATATTCCATTTTCTTGCGGCATATCAGCTGAAGTGTGTTGCCCACCTTCAGCTAGCATGCCACGACGATTATGACGTAATGACTGTCTCTTATACAATGATTTCCATGGCTTTCTTGGCTCTATGTCTAGTTACTAGACTGTTGAGATTACATACATACATACACACCGCTGGTGATACTGAAGGGTGGCGACAGTCTGCCATAAACCCTCACCCTGCCCGAACTATGGACGTACAGCGCTTTGATAATGTTTACATATTTATCAGGCACACCTTTCCTCAACAGACAGTCCCAAAGAGCACATCGATCGACTGAGTCGAAGGCACCCTTTATGTCAAGAAACACGACAATGGTGGGTTACCAATAAACATGGCGGTGCTCCAACACTTGACGCAATGTGAAGATGTGGTCGATGCAGCCCCGACCTCGACGAAATCCGGCTTGCTCTTCACGAATCTGGCTTTCACGAGTGCCAGTCAGTCTGTGGAGAATGACACAGGCAAGCAACCGAAAGGCAATCGAAATCAGACTGAACTCTCCATGATTGCCGCATTTCAAACGGGAGCGTCCCTTGAAAATTGGGACAATGACGGAACGGTTCCAGTCTGTCGGGACTGTCTCCTGCTCCCAAAGTTTTACTAGCAACTCGTGTAAATCATCTACTAGAGCAGATCCCCCGAATTTGAAGAGGGCTGAGGGAATTCTATCTGCCCCTGCGGCTTTATGCAATTTCAACAGCCTGATCTCACGTTCGACTTCTGCGCGTGAGGGCGGATCCAAGGAGACGGCCCAAGGAGAAGGGCGTTCAATGCCCGAAGAAAGTGATAACTCAGGTTGGTTAAATTGCCGTGCAAAGTGTTCAGCCCAACGCTCCAAGCGTTTTGACAGGCTGTGGATCGGCTGCCCACTCTCGTCGCGTATGGTCTCGCTAACACCAGGTCTCCTGCTGCCTGTTTTCCCTATCAGACGGAATAACTTACGATGGTTACCAACGGCAGCAGCTGTTCCCATTTCCGATGCACGATGAGACCACCAGGTTTCGCGGTCCTTCTTCAGGCTAGCACGTAGTTTTGCCCTGAGATTTTTGCGAGCCTCATTGTATTCGCTTCCAGCAGGAATACGTCGGCGAACATCCATAAGTTTCAGAGACTGTGTAGAAACCCAATTTCCGGTTTGGCAATTTGCTTTGCTACATGAAAACATGCCTGTTAAAAGCAACGCTTGGCGAATATGCGACCAGTGATCTTCAACGGTGTTTACTGGGCGCTTACTCAGCCCAAATGTCAGCGCACATTGGTACACATTCAGAACATCTGACTGGTGTAAATCCGTTCACATCGACGTTGCGGTCGTCTACCGAAACGCACCAGGAGGTCGGCACAGACAAGTGCGTGGTCATAGTCCACGCTCGTGCTCCAAATCGAGCGACAGTTTTGAGCACAGCCTCTCCAGCGGTAACTGATCGCGATATGATCGATTTGCGTCCATGGCTGGCCCGAGGCTGGTGGCCGCCAAGTCACGCTTCTGCGGGTGCTGTGTCGAAACTTTGTGCTCGCGAGAATGAGACGAGCATCTTCACATAGCTGTAGCAATCGCTCGCCGCTATCATTACGGGAGCCTACACCACGTTGGCCGCCCAGATGAAGCTCATCAGAGGACAATTTTCCGACTTGGGCGCTTAGATCTCCAGCCAACAGCACAGTATCCGTGCTTCTTCTGTAACGAAGGAGATCGTGATGTTGCTGATAGAAATCATCTTTTACCGAATCAGTGCTACAGTTTGTAGAGGCGTAGACCGCAATGACAAACAGGCACCGTTTGTCCCCGCGCGACTTCGTAGCACGGAACGAACCCGCCAATCTAACGACGCACATCCTACTGTTTACTGGGATCCAATCAATCAGGGCAGCTTCAGCCCGGGGACTCAAAACAATGCCGACGCCAGCTTGACCGGCATTTGAAGCTGCATCATCGCCAGACAGGCGCAATGAGAATGTGCCGCCAGTGTCGCATGTGGGGGATCGCAGGGTAAGCACAGAGCTCGAATCTTGCAGGCGGGTTTCTGATAAACAGCAAATATCGATCGATAGGGTCTCTAGTGTGCGGGCAAGTGCTGCCTGTTGGCCAATCTGCAGCAAAGTGCGCACGTTGAGGCATGCCAGTCTTAGCGAGGCACGAGGACTCCAAAGGGAAATAGATGAACTGACGTTGTCCGCTTGGTTGAACATGGACTTGTCGACTGGATTGGAGCGACGCAGTGCCATTGTGTGATTTGAAATTAGAAGACAAGCAACTACTGTAGTAAGCTGGAGAGGCCAAGAATTGGGGGATTGAAAATGAGGGAGATATAAGTAAATTTGGAGCGGGACGACAAAGATGAGGAAGCGGGAAGACTTGAGCAGTAGCATTCATACCCCTATCCACCCTGCTCGATGCAGCATATAGGGCGCCGTTTATTATCCTCTGCGACGGCCAGAGCATCGAGAAATTACTGTAGGAAAGGTTCACTGTATTGTATTATTTGTACAACAAAAGGTTCCCTGTTGCCTAGCTATAAAAAACGACACCGCTGACGGTCTAACTAGGGGAACAAAGAAAGCACAGCACACAAGACAGTCGCGCGTTGAAACCGGAGCGAGCGCCAAGCAGAAAGGAGATATACAACTCAAGCAATCGAACTAAGTAACCAGCTCAACATTCCGCACCGGTCGCCTAAATGTAGAGTGAAAGAGTGATTTTGTTTAGAATTTTACACAAGCAAACTGGAATTTTCAGACTGCTAAATAACCCTCCCCCAGGACTGTGTAAGCAGTCCGTCTATCAATCTGAGGACTGTCGCGGGTCAGCCTTCTGCGAGGTTAGGATGTCAATCCTGATGCAGCTGGTGGGGGAGAAACATGCAATCGGACCCCGACGGGCTCCCACCAGTGTCCTCCCTACGGTGTCAAAACTAAAAGGGAGTTTTAAGGGGATAGTTCGTAAAGTTCACTTAGCTGGCTGTGCAGGAAGTTCGTTGCGCTTCCAGTTGAGGTGCGGGATCCAGCGAAGTGTGAAGTCAAGGAGTGACCAACCGACGGGGTGTAGATGGAAAGCACAATGAAAAAGAGCAGCGTAAATCCATAGCAATACACAAAAGCGTGTAAAGCGAAAAACTTGCGAAGCTGTTTTTGGGTTTTCAAAAGGTATTTTGCTTTTTTGGTAGTTTCAAAACGTTTTGGTCATTTGTTGTAGGTTTTGGAAAAAGTTTAATAGGAGCGAGGATGGGAGAGGCACGTCCTATGTAAGAGAACGAACGCTGACAAAATTGGAGAAAAGCAGGCGAGGTTTGGTTGTTCAAACACGTCAGTTGATAGTAGGATTGAGGTCGGTTGAGGCCGTAGATTCCAATGAAGCAGATTGAGGGGTCTAAGTTTGCGGTGATGGCCGTGAAGGCGTAGGTTAATGAGGTGCTTTTTGCACAGGAGAGTCAGAAGTATTGCGCTAAGGCTTGTCTATATCGGGATCAGCTTGTTGAACAGCAGCCATGGCGGTAACGTCGACGTTGACTCCAGGTGCCAGCCTGATCTGATGGATGCGTGAAAGAGCGTCTGAGATGGGATTAAGAGCACCTGAGACATGGCGTAGTCTGTCGTGTACTGAGAAACGTAGTCAAGGTGTCTAGTTTCCCGAGGAGAGTACTTGTCTGTTGCACTATTGTTTGCGTAGATCAATGGCTTGTTGTCAGTGAAAATTATGAAATGTTGACCCTCAAGTTAGTGACTGAAATGTCTGATACCAAGGTAGATAGCGATAGCTCCCTACCGAAGGTGTTGTAACGTGAGTCGGCAGGTCGCAAACGCTTCAGAACGAAACATAGTATCCATCAATGGTCGATGAGTTGTTAGGCAGCTGCACACACGGCGGTGTCTGATGCGTCAGTTGTATGAGAAAGTGGCGCAGTTGTGTGTGGGTGAGCGATAAGCGCTATATTGCAGAGCGCATCCTTGAGCTTCTTGAAAGCCAGGTTAGCGTCGTCTGGAAAGTGAAAAGTGCGCTGATTACCGCGGAACAAGTCGGTCATAGATTGCATAATGCTCGCGCAGTTTGGAATAAAGCGTCTATAATAGTTGACCAGGCTAAGGAATCGGCGTAACTGTTTGAAAGAACTAGGAGCAGGACAGTCCTTCAATGAATGGATCTTGTCCTGCAGGACTTCAA